CTTCCGATTGGGGGTTTTCGCTCCTAAACCCTAACTGGAAATGGAAAAGTAGAGAACTTTGTCTTCTCTCTCGTTAGGGTTTAGGAATTTTCAGCTCCTTTCGACGAAGCTAGAGTGAGGATTGTTTGAAGAGAATAGTTCAATTCGCCTTCAATTTTACGAATTTATTGTTCTTTGCAATTTCGTTTGATTGTTTTCGGTATTAGTTCTGTTTTGTATCAGATTTTCAGTTTCAAAAAGGGTCAGCAATTCCCTCTCTCTCTCTTGTTCTTGTTTCCCCCATGATTCTGTGCGTTTGTGTGTGCAGGCAAGTGATAGATTCAACATCAACTCTCAGCTTGAACATCTTCAAGCTAAATATGTCGGAACTGGGCATGCGGATTTGAGCAGATTGTAGGTTTAATCTGTCGTTCCGTTTAGTAAAAATCATCGCTTTGGCTTCCAGATTTTGCTGTTCTTCATCCGTTTTCCGGATTCTGATAGCTCTTTTCTCGTAATGTTTGAATGTGTAGTGAATGGGCTGTGAATATTCAGCGTGACAGTTATGCCTCATACGTTGGTCACTACCCGATGCTTGCCTACTTTGCGATAGCCGAGAACGAATCCGTTGGACGTGAACGCTACAATTTCATGCAGGTTTGCCCTAATTTCCTTTCCTTGCTTCATTCTGTTTGTTTAGTTATAGCTCTGGAGATGTGTGATATAGGGTTAGGATCTTGATTTCGGATTGATTCGATTTGGGTCAATTATCGTAATATCTCCTTTTTCTTCATAGCTAGCATCTACCGAACGTAGTTTCTTCTTCTCGGTTAATATCTCTCAGCTTCTTTAAACTATCTTTTATGGTGATAGTAAAGTCTTGTCAATTGGCATGCACCCGATACTGATAGTAGTCTTATTCATATATTCCTGATATGATAACCCTTTACTCAAATCTCTGCAAGCAAGTTCTTGTGGTAATCAGAAGGCATTTAGTGTTTATGAAGAATGCATGATCCTTTATACAAGACATGATGACATGAACAGAGATGTTCTTGATTCTGTATTCTTATGTATATCATATTGGTCTTCCTTGTCTGTAACCGACAAAAAAAGGGGAGCATTAGAATCAAGAAATTCATGAAGATCTTAGGGTCAAAACTGATTTTTTTTTCCGGCTCCTTTTGCCTGTAAAATCATTTTGCTTTCTCATGTTTGCATATTATCATACTGTCTATATCCTTATCTCCTTCACTACTTAACTGTATTGGATCTTTACCTGCAGAAAATGCTTCTGCCATGTGGGTTGCCTCCAGAAAGAGAAGACGATTAAGATTCAGGGTTTGAAGATCGGTTTACAGAAACTATTTCAATGAGCTTTCTAGGATTGGAGTATGAACCCTATCTACTGTGTTTTGCTTGATCGAAACTCAAAGAGTGTTGGCTTTCGTCTGAACCTTGTTGTAATCTTTTGTCCATCATCTCTGATCTGAAATGTGTTGGCTTTCACCAGATTTTCTTGTGTTTGTTATCAATCTTATCTGCTCATCTCTGTTGCGTTCGTACGTTTCGGACAATATTCAAGTAACCTGTCTCATGTCTGGAACTGGGGAATGACGAATCCAGTTTCAAGCATCAAGAAGCAAATGCTACGTTGAAGATGATGATGACGTTGTAGAATCTTGTAATGGCGATAAGACTTTCCATTCAAAAACCCTAGTGCCCCACCAAAAAAAAACAAAGAGTCAAAACCCATAAACCCTACCGAGTTGAGGGGAGGAAGAAGAGAGCGCGCAAACCGGAAACACAGACAGGTTCATGGTCAGATGAGTTCAGCAAAATCCCTGATCAAGACATTAGCGGAGAACCCTTGTTCAATCAGATCCAAATCCCAAGCCAAGCGCCTCCACGCGAAGCTAATCAGAACACAATCCCTCTCTCGGACAGCTGCTTCCGCCATAATCTCCGTCTACACCAACCACAACCTCTCGCAGGAGGCTTTGCTTCTCTTTCAGAGAGTAGATTCTCCGCCTGTCCTCGCATGGAAGTCGATCATCAGATGCTTCACCAGTCAAGGGCTTTTCGCTCGCGCTTTGTCTTCCTTTGTCGAGATGCTTGCATCTGGGACATACCCAGATCACAATGTCTTCCCTTCCGTGCTGAAATCGTGTACGATGATGATGGATTTGAGACTGGGTGAGTGCGTTCATGGTTGCATCATTAAGCTTGGGATGGATTTCGATTTGTACACCGGCAATGCGCTGATGAACATGTACGCTAAGCTTCTGGAAACGACTTCAAAGATTAACGCGACCAAGGTGTTCGATGAAATGCCTCAGAGAAAGCTTAAAACCGAGGAAATTTTGATTCTTGACGGGAATTCAAGTTCGCATTTTCCTACTGATGAATCTGAGAGAGGGGTTACTGCCGATTTCTGTGCCCAGGATCTAAACAATGCTGAAACTTGCATCAATGATAGTAATAGATCTTTAGGGATACAAAGTGTGAAGAAAGTTTTCGAAATGATGCCAATAAGGGATGTCGTCTCGTGGAATACCGTCATTGCGGGATATGCGCAAAACGGGATGTACGATGAAGCACTGAGATCGGTCAGGGATATGGGGAATGCTGATCTGAAGCCCGATGCTTTCACCTTGTCTAGTATTCTCCCTATATTCTCTGCACACATGGATTTAATCAAGGGAAAGGAGATTCATGGGTATGCCATCAGGAATGGGATCGATATGGATGTATATATCGGCAGTAGCTTAGTAGATATGTATGCAAAATGTGCTCGGGTCGAAGATTCTAAACGGGTGTTTTCTGTATTGCGCCGGCGTGATAGTATTTTGTGGAACTCGCTTATGGCTAGCTATGTACAGAATGGAAGATTCGACGAGGGTCTTCAAGTATTTAGGCAGATGTTGTCTGCAAATGAGAGGCCGAGTCCTGTGACGTTTTCAAGCATTATGCCGGCATGTGCTCATCTAACCACTTTGCATCTCGGGAAACAACTTCACGGGTATATACTGAGAGGGGGACTCGATGGTAACGCTTTTATAGCGAGTTCTCTTGTGGATATGTACTCAAAGTGTGGAAATATCAAAGCTGCAAGGCGGGTATTCGACAGGATTAAGGTGCGTGACTTTGTATCGTGGACAGCTATCATAATGGGACATGCATTGCATGGCCATGCCCATGAAGCGATTCTCTTGTTCGAAGAGATGAAATCGCAAGGGGTGAAACCGAATTACGTAGCCTTTATAGCTGTACTGACGGCGTGTAGTCACGTGGGATTGGCAGATGAGGCTTGGAGATATTTCGAAAGCATGACTGAGAACTACGGGATAAACCCGGGATTGGAACATTATGCAGCTGTGGCTGATCTTCTCGGCCGTGCAGGGAGGCTGGAAGAAGCGTACGATTTCATCTCGGGTATGCGTTTTGAACAAACAGGCAGCGTCTGGTCAACGTTATTGGCTGCTTGCAGGGTACACAAGAACACTAGATTAGCCGAAAAGGTTGCGGAGAAGATATTCGCCATAGATCCAGACAACATAGGAGCATACATTCTGATGTGCAACATGTATGCGTCCGCTAGGCGGTGGGGCGACGTAGCGAAACTGAGACTGAGTATGCGAAAAAAGGGTATGCGGAAAACACCGGCCTGCAGTTGGATCGAGGTAAAAAACGAGACGCACGCTTTTACGGCCGGAGACAGGTCGCATCCGAGCATGGACAGAATCGACGGGTTTCTTCAGGCTGCGTCGGAACTGATGGAGAAAGAAGGGTATGTTCCGGACACGAACGAGGTGCTTCATGACGTGGACGAGGATCAGAAGAAGGAGATATTGTTCGGACACAGCGAGAGATTGGCGATCGCATTCGGGATCATCAGTACGGCGGCCGGGACAACGATCAGGGTCACGAAGAACATAAGGGTATGTTCGGATTGTCACACGGCCATAAAGTTGATGTCGAAGATCACCGGACGAGAGATCATCGTTAGAGATAACAGCAGATTTCACCATTTCAGCCATGGAAGCTGTTCGTGTGGAGATTACTGGTAACGGACGAAGCAAACAGCACGATTCATACATCCATCATAGTTTAAATTTAATATATATATATACACACACACAATGTCTGGAGATATCTGATACGGTTCCATATGAACATGTCTTTACATTCATAATCCTCATGAAATGTGTGTGCAATGGGTGGCCATTTCCATATTCGGTTCCAGAATTGTTTGTTTGGAGTCTTTTCGATTCTATAAAGATATATACCAATCGGTTATTATATTACATCCGGTTCGGTTTCATTTTTAATTTTATTAAAAAAATTATATATTCTTACAGAATTATCGGGTTTTGAAAATTCGGTTCGGTTTCAGAAAATTCAGTTCTCATTCATGAATTTTGGACAGTTTAATTCGAGAACGATCTCGAAATTTTTCGGTTCGATATAATTGAACCGAAGAATTATACCGAAACGTTCATCGCTAGTGTGCATTTTAGTATTTGTTTGTTAGTGTTTCTATATTTTTTTTTTCCGACAAAAGACGTGAAATTCGGACGTCAGAGTTTGAAAACGACGCATGAATCCATCATTTTTTTTATGTATATATATACATATTATAAAGTCTTCATTAGGACTATTTTCCGATATTTATTTTTTAAATATTCTAAAAGAGGGTCGTAGTCGGATTAATAATTCAATCAATTAGCTCTAAGGACAATTAAAATATAAAAGAAAATTTCAATATGTAACAGTGTCATGATGATCAGCAAATCATATATTCTAATCTAAGTTTGACTTGATAAGGTAATTGCACAAATATTTTATACATCCACATCTATGTAATTACCTTTCCACCACATTTCTTTTGTACATATTAATAATAATAATTTATAAAACTAGTTCTAATTAGGTTATAAACTTTTCCTATTTTAGTTTTAAAAAAATCACATTTTTTTTCTGTTCTAAAAATTGTATCATTTTTTCCCGTCGGTTGTCGATTATGATCAAAATGATAATCATCAGATTTAGTTAAAAAAACAATACTTATTCTAAATATATTTTTACTTTGAAAAAAAACATACAACAAAATGTATATATTTTTATATAACTTTAAGATTTATGTAAGAAACAATAAATAGACAGACGAGACGAGAGATCTCCATAGATCTATTGCATAAGGCAACAGCAGACATAAGCTGTCCTACATTCTTATCATCAATTAATATTCCCATTTTTTTCCATTCGATATATATATTTTTTTATTATTTTTTGTAAAAAGTTTATCAAAATTAGAAGTAGCTCTTAAATTTCATTTAATATTATATAAAAACACTTTTATTTTTATTTTGAGCATATCAAAGTATTGAGTTCGTTCTCAAATTTGCATGAGTTTTTTTTTTTCTCATGTATTAAAACTTTGTTTATGCACACAATATAATAATAAATCCCATATACTCGTTTTAAATACAAAATCCTTTGTATTTCTTTATTATTTTCATATTTATTTTGAATTAAATAACATAAAAAAAGCCTAGAGTATTTTTGCAAACAATGGATCCCAATACAACGAATTATTTAAACGATAATAATAATAACTTCAATTTCTGTAACATATTTATTGGAACTATATTATGTTACACAATGTCCAATGCCTTAGTTGTTCCCGTAGTCATCGTATCTGTTTAGCCCATTTGCACGTAAAGCCAAAGCATATAATAATAATAATAATAATAATAATAATAATAATAATAATAATAATAATAATAATTTTTAAAATTATTATTGTTATTATTATCCATGTTAGGTTTGTTTTCATTGATGTGATAATTGAGTCTATTAAAATGATTAAAGGCAATCAATTACTTTCATTTATGGAAAGGGGATAATTAAAATCTGTAAAGAAAATGATTAAACTTCAATATAAAAATAAAAGTGATGTTGTCCATATATGTAATCGGGTCAATCATACAATTAAAGAATAAAAAAAATAATTAAATTAACATGAAACGTGAATTGACACGTACGTGTAATGCATGGGTCGGATCACGGGTTGCCTAAACGACAAGATGACAATTGCGTATGACAAACAAATGGACTAATGGAATAAGCTCTCCACATCCCTTTTTTTAATTAAAATATTTTAGAACCTTATAACAATATTATTATGAATATTACTAATTTATCATATTAATATAATCTATCGGTTCGAAATTCGGAATTACCAAAAAAAAATTTAAAAATAAAACCGACCCATTGAGAAGCCGACACGCTTCACATGATATCTTGCAACTTCCGTACAAGCTTTCAATTGCTCATTGCTTTTCTTTCTCTCTTTGGATTCTCTCTTGCTTGGTTTCTCAATAATTTTTTTTTATTTAGACAGTTTTACACAATAAAAATCCAAATTATTAAAAGCTTTCAATGATTTTTTAATTATATCTTAATTTTGGTTGGATTCCCATGGATTTAATTCTGAATTAGAATCTTTGATCAGTTTTTATTGGTAAAAATATTAATTTTATTTTTAATTTATATTTGATTTTAAATTAATAAATTATACGATATTAATTTAATTTTAAGTTATATTATTTTTTTTGCGGATAAGTTACCTATCTTTGCTTAGTAAAATCCATCGGTGTAATCATTAAGACTTACTTTTCCATTCATATTTAATAAAGCAATCACAAGAGCAAAATATTATAATAATCGTTATAAAAACATATTATAATAATATATTTTTTTACAAAAAAATATTATATTATTATAATAATATTATTGAAAAATAATAAAAAGATTCAGATAATATCCGTCAAGCCCGTCTCCGTTCATCTCTCTTCCTTTGCAATTCATCGGCCTTCGTCCATTTTATTCCCTCACCTTTTCTTCTTTATTTTCTCCTCGCTTTTCTTCAAGAATCTCCAAATTTTTTCCGAGAAAATCCATTCCTTTGTCCTTTACACTCAGATCCGAACTTGAGTCCGTTTCTCCGAATTCTCGCCGCTGTAAATCGTCGTTGCTTGATTCTTCTTCTGGGTTCTTCCCTTTTCCCTCGCAAAAAAGTTTGCAGACTCGCGTTTTTCTTCCTCGCGAAGTCCCGAACTTTTTTCCGACTAAATCCGCCGCTTGGGTTTTGGTTTAGGTTCAGCAACTCTGCGGTTACTTCTTTTTCTACTTGATGTAAGATTCGCTCCCGATATTGCTCCGTCTCTGTTCTAGCAACTAGGGTTTAGCCCTGTCAGATCGAGGAGGGGTGAGGTTTGCCCGGATCAGGTTCATCGTGTCCGAATCGGCGATCAGATTCCATAGATGGACAGATTTTTGAGTAATTCCCGCTGGTGAATCGGATTCTGGTTTCAGATTCTTTGCAAGACGTAGTTTTTTTTTTCTGTGGGAACAGAGCGATGGATCACGTAATCGGCGGAAAGTTTAAGTTGGGTAGGAAGATCGGTAGTGGATCCTTTGGTGAACTTTATTTAGGTATGTATATTTAATCCATCAACTGATATTTTCTGGTTCTTGTCTAGGGTTCTTAATGGATTTTTCTTTTGCTTCAAATCTGACTCTGAATTCATCTCTTTTTTATCATGTGTTCTTCAGGGGTTAATGTCCAAACTGGAGAAGAAGTTGCTGTTAAGCTGGTATACTATGAATCAATTTCCTTTTTTTTTTATATTACTGCATGATATCTCCTCACTATTTTTTGTTTCAGTTTTGTGGGATTTGTCCGCAAATGTACAAAGTTATTTTCGTTGAAGACGATTCTTCTTGTTGTTAGACATAATGCAATAAAGGGCTTTCTTCATATTGATTCTTCATATAGAATAAGAAATTGGTATCTGAAAGAAATTTGAACACTGGATCTTCAAAAATGCAGTTTTTTTTATGTTTGTACCTGAAATTAGCTTTTGTTTTTTCCTAGTTCTGAAGCATGATGAGTTGTTCTTGTTTGTTGCTAGGAATCTGTGAAGACTAAGCATCCTCAACTTCACTATGAATCCAAAATATACATGCTTCTTCAAGGAGGGAGTGAGTTTGTTTCCATTTCTTTCCTCTCTGGAGTGCTCTATATACGTCTTTCACTGACTTGAATTCTCTGTTTTCGTTCTGTCAGCGGGAATTCCCCATCTCAAATGGTTCGGTGTCGAGGGCGAATATAATTGTATGGTTATTGACCTTCTTGGTCCAAGCTTGGAGGACCTTTTCAATTACTGCAATCGAAAGTTTTCTTTGAAAACTGTCTTGATGCTTGCTGATCAGTTAGTAAGTGTGCCCTTTCATCTTTGAGGTTTTGTGTGACTTGTGATGATCGAAAACACTGCTTACCTATATTATTATTTGAATACCTTCCTGTCAATGCAGATAAACCGAGTTGAGTACATGCACTCTCGGGGATTTCTTCACCGTGATATTAAACCCGACAACTTTTTGATGGGCTTGGGACGAAAAGCAAACCAGGTTTCTGCTAGCAGTTTTGTCTTGAGCTAATTCTTAAGGTGTGACAATTGTTTAAGACGTCTAGTTTAACGTATTTTAATTTGAAACCTCAGGTGTACGTCATCGACTATGGCCTTGCTAAAAAGTATAGAGATCTCCAGACACACAAACATATACCATACAGGTGAGAAATGCAAACTCTCACCCGGCTTTGGGATGTTTCTACTTGTGGGTTGTGTTTTGTCTTAATGTATTATTTTCACAATCCAATGTACTCTGCTGCATTGGCCTTTGTCCTATACTTTCATAAATGTTTCACCACCCTCTGATACATTTAGAACGAGTAGGGAACATAATTCTGAATGTTCTTGAGACTTTCCTTTGTGCATTCTCCTTTCGGGCTTGCTTCTTAAGTCTTGATTACATTTTCTTGCAGGGAAAACAAGAATCTTACGGGAACTGCTCGGTATGCAAGTGTCAACACCCACCTTGGAATTGGTGAGAACTAGTATCCATTTTCTAATGCGGAAGAAAAATAGCGAAACTCGTGTCCATGTGTTGAACCATATGTCTTATTTGCTTACAGAGCAAAGTAGAAGAGATGATCTGGAATCGCTCGGTTACGTGCTGATGTATTTTCTAAGGGGAAGGTAGGAACCTGCTTTGCTTGCCTGTTTGGAAGAAAATGAAATATTATTGACCTCGTCTTTTTTTGTATGTCTTCTCGTGTCTCAGTCTTCCATGGCAAGGCCTGAAAGCTGGTACCAAGAAGCAGAAATATGACAAGATTAGCGAAAAGAAGATGCTTACCCCTGTAGAGGTACAGTGTTGTTACATTCCATAAGTTTTTTTCGTATTCTTTTATTGTTCCGGCTTCTATTTAGTTTTCAAAAGCTAATAATGGTTCCGCTGATTGCAGGTTCTTTGCAAATCGTTCCCATCAGAGTTTACGTCATATTTCCATTTCTGCCGATCATTGAGGTTTGAGGACAAACCCGATTATTCGTACCTGAAAAGACTTTTCAGGGATCTTTTCATTCGGGAAGGTGAGGACAAAACCAGTTGTTCGCATATGAACAAAGTGTTTGATGCAGTTTTATCATCCTTATAGTTTTTTACATACATTTGTATAAATACTGGCAGGTTATCAGTTTGACTATGTGTTTGATTGGACAATCTTGAAGTATCCTCAGATCGGTTCGAGTTCAAGGCAAAGGGTTAGTGAAGAACAAAAGTCGAAAGGACTGTAAATTTGTCTGAACTCTCTCATCTTACGATTATCATTTTTTTTCTCTCTTTTTTTCCAACAGCCGAACCCAAGACCGGCATTAGACGCTCCAGGACCTTCTGCAGAAAGAGCTGAAAAGCCTACAGGTATAATAAGTATTCATTATCTTTCATGCCCTTAGTTCTTGAAATGTGCTGATAAGATTGTAGGCTGATGGACTTTGAGACAACATTTCCTATCTTTTGTTTGTAGTGGGACAGGATCTCCGGGAGAAATTCTCGGGCGCAGTTGAAGCTTTCACGAGACGGAATCTTTCGGGCCATGGTGACCGTTCTAGGCAGAGATCTTCGGATGATGTACCTTCTTCTAAGGAAGTGGTTAGTCCTTTTCTTCATCCTTCCCATTAGCAGCCTCAGTCCCATAATATTGTTCAAGAATTCAATAAACCGTCTGTATTTTCAATGATCCTGAATCATATTTTGATTGTTCTGGTTTTACAATGTGAAGAATGAAGCTGAAAGACCAAGGTCCACGTCTCGGAATGGGAGCACATCGAAAAGAGCGGTCATGACGAGCAGCCGGCCTGGTTCGTCAGGTGAGCCAAGCGAGAGCAGATCAAGCAGGCTGTTTTCAAGCGGCGGTGGTACTGGTCGTGTCTCTTCGACCCATCATCATCGGATTCAAGCAGGATACGAATCAAAGTCGTCATCGTTTGCCCGTGCAACTGCCACGACCATGAGGCCAGGGCGTGATGACGCCCTTAGAAGCTTCGAGCTCCTCACCATCGGCGGCTCCGGCAAGAAGAAGTGAGAGAGAGAGAGAGGTACATACATGTTGAAACTGGGAAGAGCTTACATGGGAGAAGAAGAAAAACGTCACAGGAGGGAGATATAATCAAATTCTCTCTCTCTCTCTCTCTCTCTCTCTCTCTCTCTCTCTCTCTCTCTCGTTTCTCTGTTTTAGATGAGTTTGTTCATTAAGTCTGAAAAAAGCAAGAGTTAGTACTCTGTACTTCAGAATGGAAATGTTAAAGACATGTTATTGAATTGTTAAATGTGGTAATGAATTTAAGTTTGACGCAGACATTTGACTTGAGTTCTGCCCTTTTGCTTGGCCAAACCTTCAATATCCATTTTCAACTTCACAAAATCAAGGCAACATTAGTATGTTTCAGTCGAAACGGATAACGATGCAAGAAATGGCGCCTTTGCTCATCCGGTTCAGGGCTTCTTCGGCCAGGCACTTGGCCGCTTGCTTTGGATCTTCAATGTGTCTGATCAGATTCACTGCTTCTTGGTTCTTCATCACCTGAAAAATTCCCAATCATGGTTCAGTTTATGACTGAATAATGGTTTTGTCGTCATTTTGGAAACCGAGTGTGTGAATTTCTACCTCCCAGATTCCGGAGCTGCCGATGATGATGAACTCCGTGTCTGGACTGATTCTTTCCATGACGACTGCTAATTCTGAATCTGCAGTCTCTGATCCATCTTCTTCTTCTCCTGTTTGTCTCTGATTGCAAGCTAGTAGTAACACATGTAAAGTTCGAAAAATCGGTGTAAGGGTCAGTTTTAATACACTTTCTTCTGACACAAGTAGAAGAAAACATGGGGAAACCCTAGTTTATGATCAGAAAAGCTCTCTGGTTGAAGCCAAGAAGACACTGATAGAAACCCGGTTTTAGACTTGGAGATCTCATGCTTAACCCATGAAGAAATGGAAATTACCCGAGCCTATACCAAGACGCAACCCGCAAAACCGGTCTTAACCAAGAAAGATTCGCATTTAAACTGACCTGGAAAAATCATCTTGGACCAATGCCTTTTGGAGGATTTCAGCTTCTTTTTCCTGATTTGATGAGCATCTCCTTCTCTGCAGACCACCACTCTGTAGCCTCCCATGCTTGCCATTGTGAGCTCTTCCCCATTCACCACCATAACCGATGCGCCCAATCCGCCATTGATGATTCTCTCCTCTTTCTCTTGGCCGCCCACTGCGCTCATATACGCTCTTCTCGTGATCTCTTTGCTCTTCCTCGCAACCCCAAGCTGCATTTTTTGCAATCTTTCTTCCATGAAATCTAGATCAAGAAATGCATTTTCAGACAAAAGGGTCTGATCTGGGTTTGTTTCATAATACCTCGTGTCGGAGTTTATCAAACAGATGGGTCTGCATGTACTTAGCGATCACATCCCGTGTCTGAGTGTCGGATACTCCAAAGAGCCAGATCTCAAGCTCTTCACTTTGTTCTCTCTGTACCAAAACCATGTCGGAATCTGACAAATTTCCGCTACAGCTTCCACTAAACCGGTCCACCGTGTAGCATCCATGCGAAACCGGAGTTAACCAAGAAGGATTCATCTTGTTTTTCCTTCCATCGCCACCACCCATCAGAAGTCTTCTAAACCGGAATGCCTGCATGATTCGTATCAGAATTCATTTGGATCGTATCACATCATATCTGAGACACCCAAACTTGAAAATCATCAACAAAACCTCTTATTTTCCAGGAAAATCGTTAAAGGATCAAGCTTTTTTTGAACCCAGAATTCAAAGAAGAAGAAGAAGAATACCTTAAGGCTGAAACGGAGATTTCTGAAGGCCATTTTCACGGTTGGATTTGCCATTAGGTTGTAATCTTTTGTACCTTCTTATAGCTTTTGATAATAACAAGGAAGTAAATTTTAAAAAATAAAACTTTTTCCATTGCAAGATACAGGCGGGGTTTTGTATTTTTTTTTTGTATTTTTTTTTATATACGATGTTTCCAATAAAAAAATCTTGTAGATCTTCTTCTCTTTTTTATTTGTAGAGTTTTTTATGGTAAAAATATTTT